TTAAGGGAGGAATATTGGATGAGGGATTGTACGGGGTGACGGGCGCGCTCATGCCGGATGCACTCACCTTGAGATCGCCATGCAAGATTGGCTGCGGTTTATTTGCATGCAAAAAGCGCAATCCTTGGGCAAGCTGTCACGGAGTGCAAGATACAGATGGTGTGAGAAGTGGACTGCCCTACCTATCAAAGTGCTCAAGGAGATACTCACATCTCGAGTTATCTGCAAGATGATTTCTCCAGTCAGGAGCATAGTATCGTTGCGAAGTAAATCATGAAGCGAGCCATATTCCATGTACTAAACCAGAAAGTCGAACCGCTCAACGCAGTGAGCAAGTCAAATACTAATCACAAAGAAAAGATTCAAATGGCGACTAGGCGACGCCACAACTCACCTCCATGACCATGACGGGATCATGATGTCGCGTCAGGACGGCGCCCATACTGTGGAAGAAACGGGAAGGACGGCGAAGGGTCAGTGTTTGGTGGACTAATCCAAAACTAGACAAGAAAAACAGCACAGTACTCAACGTACACCGTGGTGATACAGGGATGCCTCAACCTAGCCAACACTCTCATTTCCGTCTTGAATTCTGCATGTAGCCTAGCGGTGTTGTTGATACAGGGGCAAAACATTTGGCCCACTCTACTGGATCTTGCGGCACTTGCTGAACCGAGAACAGATTCGTGGAGTGTCCTGGATTGATAGCCATTTCCGTCGCCAAAGCACCAGGGGAATAGTTTTGCCCACTTGCTTTTCTTTCCCTTGAGTTCACGGTTCAAGAAGGCTAGGCTGAAACGACGACTCACGTAGTCGCTATTGTCATTCGCGACAAGATTGGAACCAATGCCACCGGTTTCGTGGGAGAGTAAAATGCCGCTGTTCTCCAGTGGACCCGATGTAACGGTCCCGACCTCGAGATCAGCGACTTCGTTCGAGCCGTGGGAGCTATGTGTCCCAACGGAGGCACCACCAATGCCCGTCGTATTAGACGCCTCCGCTGCCACGACTACAGAACCTTCGTTGTTGAACCCCATGTTTTCGAGATTGGCGGCTGTGCTTGTTCTCCCATCAGTGCTGGGACTCCGACCACTGCTACGTGATCCGCTGCGACCACCGCTGCGTGATCCGCTGCGACCACCGCTATGCGTACCAGCCCTTGAACCTTCCTTCTTCTTTTGAGAGCTGAGCACTCGTTTGATAGCCACCTTGGTTCCTCGGTATTCCTGCCATGGGTTGTTTCATTTTGTTTATTGCAGTGCCATGTGGGGGTTAGATACCGGTGGAAACACACATGAACGTCACAATGCATTCGGCATCTTTTGTTGCTTGATGCTTGCTAACTTACCGCCAAGACCACCACACCAAAGGAACCTTGTCCAATGACTTCAACAGGATCATCAAAGTGTAACTCTTCAGGGAAAACTTGCCAGACTTCATCGCTCTTTCGATTCTTGTGTCGAATGTACAAGATAGTGGCAATGGCAATGATGACTAATCCCACGATGGATCCCGAGACGGCAAAGATGGCAACATCAATACATTCCCCTCCAATCTCAATCGTCGAGTCGGCGCACTGGCAATTTCCACTGGCGTCCGCAGCCATGTTTCGTCCTGCCAATACGAATTAATAGAATAATTAGTAAGCGTGTTTGATTTAAAGATCAGACGATGAAATGACGAAATGACCTGTCATGTCATGACACCGCGGGGCTGATCATCGTGCACTACTTACCTCCAAAATCGATGCTGCAATCTCGTTCGATGACTGTAATTCGTAGAGGCGACCTGACGATCAAAACAGTAAGAGCAACAGCAACAGAAAGATCGAGAGACACGACGGTGAGGATGAGTGCATGTTTGTTTGTTTGTTTGCTTGTGTGCGTAAGTAAGCAGTAGGCCAGATAGTTGACGAACGCAACGTCACGTACTCTGGGATTTGTACGCCATTGACAAAGACCTCAAGAATGCCGACCCCGACTTCTGGATAACCCCACGTCATTTCGTAGGTGTAGGGTCCGACTCGGTACACATCGAGCGTTATATCGTACCGTTCCATGTGAATGATGGCTTCTACCCGCGCGTTTTTTCGTTCGACATTGTCAATGGCCCGGAGCGTGATTTCCTTGGTCTGTTGTACTTCTCCGCACACACTCATTTTGGAACATCCACTTTGCTTAACAGCACTAGCACTAGCAGCAGCGACCGCTGTGGTTGCATTGTTGCTGCCGCCTGCCAAATGTAGCATAGTATTCGGTTCGCCGTCGCTGTTTTCATTGTACTGAAAGACATCGACTTCAAATGCCTTGATACAGGGTTGACAAAAGCACTCGTATCCTTCCTTACACTCGAGACCAGCCACTTCACAAGAGCGATCAAACTCATCTTTGGGTAGTTTGTAGTGCTCTGGAGGACACTGAATATCTTGATAGAGGGTATCTCCTCGAATGCAGTGTAGATCCCCCGAGACTGGATCCTTGGAAATGAATCCTGCCGATTCTTGTTTGGTCCGTACTCCAAAGTACGATCGTGCAGTCCGAAATCCTGTAAAGTATCCACTGGTGGCCGCATCGAGGGCAAGTTGTGCAATGTGTGGCGTAGTGTGACAAAGTAGATTTTCTTGTAGATCAATGGACATGGCATGATCTGTCAATGCCAGTAGTGCTTCCTGAACTTCCTTGGAGACCGTCTTGTCCGTGTGATGGAGTGCTGCCACGGGCCATTCTGGATGCAGTCCTGTGGATGATACGAATGGGAATATGGTTCCATCGTCTAGGACGTGTGTTTGTGGATTGATGATCTTGAAGGTGTCTGTATGTGTGAAAGACAAACGAAACAGAAACAGAAAGAAGAGGTGGTGAGCCATGTATGTATGTCCAGTCATGTCATGTCCAGTCATGACAAACTTACCATCTGGAAGAGGTCTTCCCCGTTCATCCGTGTGTCGTTCAATTTGATCGGTCCTTGCAAATCCAATTTCAAAGTCTCCATCCAGTAGACCTTGTACAACGAGTCGTTCATCCTTGGTAAAGATGACTTGCTTGGGATCAGCCACGTAAGAAACTCCATTGACAAATAGACTGTAGAACTGAGTCTGTCCTCCTCCCATGGCAGTAATGGAACCTGCCCCAATGGTCCTGCCTATAAAGTCTTGAATGGTATTGACTTGATGATTGTCCTTTTTGACAAACATGACTCCTCCATACAGATCCAAGTCATAGGAATGACCTCTGGATTCTCTGCGATTGATGATCGTGACCAGTGCTTGAGCTTGGTATTCTGTGGCCATGCAGGAAAAGACGGCGGAACTGCCAAATAGGAAATCTACCTCCTCTTCTTGGGCTTGTTCCATGAGCTGACTGAGTGAGACGGGCACCAACTCGAAGCGAATGGGAGGGTCAAATCGGATTCCCGCCGTCTCAGTGAGATATTCGGAAAACAACTTTCCGTACAAATCGAACGCCGCTTGATCGCCTTCGCTGGCGTAGACTCCGACGCGGTAGACGGGTTTGTGGAGCAGTGGATCTTGGCGGTGGACCACAGTGGTACAGCCATTGGCATCGGTAGTCACGTTAAAGTCATGGGCGCTGTGGTGCTCTGCTTCACCCATGTGGGCATTCACTTGACTAGTACTAGTACTAGTACTACTAGTATTCAAGCTCATCAGTAGAAACAACCAGCACACAACCACCTGAACCTGATTGAGCATCTTGAGATTCATCATCTTGAGATTCATGGTCATCTTGATCATCATGGTGGGTATTAATATCTGAATGATCAATCTCTAGCTAGCTAATAGCTTGGACTGCTTTCTTTTAGCTAGCTAGCTAGCTAAAGTGAAGTATGAAGAATAGAAGTATTGATAGAAGTATCGATAGAAGAATAGAATAGAATCAAGACCAACCCTTGACACTACTTGAAAGGAGGGTTTGAAAGTGGGAATTTCGTTTTTGTGAGCTTGCTTGAGAGCGTGGGATTGGTTCGATGTCTGTTGGCTGGCTGACCTGTTGGCTGAGCTGTCGAGAAGCCTGATTGCTTTTGGCTTTTGGCTTTTGGGTTTGGCCATCATGAAACTACTGGATTTGGTACCGAATCCTACTCAGCTCAGTACATATTAGTACATAGACTACTAGCTAGTACTACTTGAATGAATCCTAGCTAGCTAGCTAGTATTCATCTGCTTGGAGGAGTACTGGTACTACTAGCTAGTGAATAATAATGGCAGCACAATCGCTTTTGTGGAACAAGAATGACTCTTCTTTTTGCCACTGTTAATACCGCAGACAATGGTCAAAAACAAATTCGGAACTTGCGGAAAGAATGACTCGAAGCTTCTCAAAAGTGCTCAAATAAATATGCCCATCAGAATCTTCAATGTTCAATGGTCAACAATAACACCTTTAGTACACCTCTGTCATCGTGGCACTGTACTGTACCAGGTACTAGGCCTACGGCTACTGTACATGTAGTACTAGCTAGCTAGTACTACTGAGCTCCGGGTGTGCCCAAGACTGTCTAAAGCCGAATAAATATCGAGTACTTACTCCAGTAGTTCGAGTATTTCAACGTCTTTTTAACTTTTCAGAGATTAAAATGAATTAAAAAAGAATTCCTAAAAGAACGCCAACGTTAGAACTAACAGGATCTTCAACAGTTCTGTGTTCCCAATTCAAAAGGAGCTTCTGGGGGTTGGAGGAAACATGGTTTTGATAAACTGGTACAGAACAATAAGATCCAGGTTGGCGTTCTTTCAAACGGTACTGTACGGTATGGTACCACGTCCTTCTAAGCTTTTATTAATTAATTAATAATAAAAGGTTCGTCGGATGGCTGCATTGCAGTGGTTGCCGTAACATACATGTTCAACTAATTTTAAAGAAACAAATACAGAGTAAGTCCAATGGTTGTGAGTCAAGTCGAGTCCAGCAGTCTGCATGTCCTCAAGACTTTCTGATGATGCACGCATCGTTACTCATAGTAAATAGGTTTTGTGCGATTGACTGCGATACAGTAGTATTGTACGGTGTAGAAAACCTGCGTTGACATACACATGGAAGCCGAGCCATCCTTGCTCCTTGCTATGTTCTGTTGCCGTACAACTTCCCAGCTGACGAGAGACCCTAGACTAGTCGGCCAGCGCAGCATCATGTTTCCCCAAGCCCCCTTGCGGTATGATGACGTAACACAGAAACTCTATTAACTCGTTTGAGTGAGGCGGTTTGCGGTGGTTGGTGCCGTAAGACTTTAAGAGCTTCCTCGTAAGAATGTTCTGTGGTGGAAGAGAACACGCGCTTTTCAACCATTTCGAACTTTGACCACCAGCAGCTACTAGTACATGTAGTGTTGCTATTGAACTAGTAGAACTGCCTGCGGCCCCCACCTCCACCAACTTCCCAATTGGAGTACCCCCCTCTACCATACCGGTAGAATCTGCACCAACCACCAGGACATGGCATGACTGTACTGGAATTGACCAGTGGAACTTACTTATGTGAGTGAACGCCAGCGCATGCGCAGTCCTCTGTCCACCTTATAACCTGAGTTGCTCCAGGCTAATTGCCCTCAATTGAGGAGATAGGAAACCGGACCAAATTCCAAGTAGCAGTTCTCGATGCTAGAGTAAAGAAAGACTGACGTGTTTTTGGATTTGGATGGTGAGCACGTGAGCATTCTTCGAATGCCCCTCCACGGGTCCCGGAACTGCCAGAGCAAAAAGACCTATTTACATACTCAGTATAAAGTAGAAGTTGTCTCGCAAACATCTGTCAGGCAGTTCCACAGTGAGTGTTCTTCGAGTACAGCTTGTACTGTGACACTTGGATTCAGCTGGTTCGATCTATCACACATCGTAAATCCCAATTTGAACACGGCAAGACACAAAGGATTTTAAGACTTTTAAAAAAAGGCCATCACAAAGATCTCAAGCCTCTCAAGCAGCCTCAAGGATGCTGCATTGCATCTGCGTACCGTAAAAGAAGCATGGGTGAGGTGTTATTCAATATGAAGAGCTGATGAAGGGAGTACCGGTATGAAGGGTGTGAGTTGAAGGCAAACATGTTCCAACGACACATCATGCATAAACTTCTACATGTACAAGAGGCATTGCTTGAAGCGCTTACCGCCTGTGGATATCGCTGCTAAGCTGGCTTTTGTACTGATCAGTATCATGTACTCTGAGTACAGTAGACGAGAACCGAGTCGAGTCAGAGGTAGTCTGTTTGTTTCAGCTGCGAAAAAGCTCCCTTTCCGAGCTGAAGCAGTCTACATGCAATATTAAATTGTTATGATAGTCTTGCTTTTCGACCAGTGATTGCCGGGCTTTGAGCCCAGACAGGAGACGGAAGGTGTGTAGTCTGTAGCGCTCTGGCTAGCTAGTAATAGTCTAGTTCTGAAGGTAGGGGGGAAGCAAAGCAAATCTCGAGAGAAACAAACCTTCTACTAGAGGCACTGCTTCAAGCTTACTACATGTATTATTATTTACTATAGCTCTTGCTCTGATGACTACATGTCATGTACGTCTAGCTAGATAGCAGGTGAACTTATTGTTGAACCTGGCTATGCCTCGTAGAAGATCTTCCCAGCCCCACCCTGGCCACGCCTACAGAAAGGCATTATGATAGTCTTTTTCTGGTACTGGTACGGTACTGTAACCCATCCGTATTCCGCAGCAACTGAATACAGTATGATGACCACACGTAGAGGTGATGCTGTCGAAGAGACGGAGCGAACACTCTGGCAAGTGAGATCCTTGTTTGATGCTTGGAAATGCTGTAGCAACGAACACTGTTTTTACCACAAAGAGCACTGGTTCCCAGTGAGACTATCACTGAAGTGCTGTTGTCAAGCTAATGGTCTTGGGCAACCGTACCGACCGGTACCGTAGAGTCGCTAGCAGCCGGCACCCAGAGGCAATGGGAAACGGATGGAGGAATAGTCGAGTGACTCCAGTGAGTCTGGTCTCCCTTTTGGGGGACTTTCATCATTCTGACTTGGCAGATATCTTGGCGGTTGCTTGCTTGGTCCTTTCGTTGGCTTTGATTGTCGTACAGTCGTACTGTACTATTTTAAAATAGTACCTGCATGTGATAGCCATCATCATTGCACCAGAAAAACCAGCAATGAAGCCGGAACAGCGAGCACACTCCTCCCTCCCTACGGTAGTCCACCTACAGTAATGGTCTTGGCATTAATTAATTGAAAGTTCAGGTTTGGCTATGCTATTTAAAATTAATAGGCCAAAAGTTTGACGACCCCACTGGCTGGAGGTCAACTGAATGCATCATCAATGGTGTCGGGTGGAATCGAATCAATACTGGTACTACTAGCTAGTACATGTAGCACACGTACGTTTTGACCGGAGGTTGATTGTTGCATGTCATTGCGTGTACTGTATTCTTATTACCAAGGTACGGAGAGATCAATCACAATCAAGGAACGTAGCGATTCGATAGTCTAGCTTGGTTGTGGTTGTTGGTTGGTACCGGTACTGTACCGGTAGCGGCCAATTGCACTGTACTGTACCGGTACCGGTAGTCGAGTCGACTTGAGGTAGTCGAGTCGACTTGAGGTCGATCGCCATCGTCATTCGTCGCTTTGTCCAGCGCTTGCTATGGTAGCAACACGTACCGTACACATACCGGTGCCGGTAGGTGATGAAAAATAATGAAGAAGTGAGAATGATCTCGATCTCGAGCCAAAAACTCTTTTAAAATTCAAAATTCAAATGGCGCGCAGGAGACACTGACTGGCTTGGGCAGCATGGTCGAGATTTGATAGCCTAAACTCTAACCAACTTGTTTGTGTCCCTACTGGTTAGGGTTAGGTTCCTCCTGTTCGACCTGAGAAATGAGATTTGCGTCCCATGTTCCGTATTACCGGCATTTACACGGGGGTTTAGAGTAGGGAAAGTACCTGGAGTTGGTGTTGAAGAGAGCTGTCCTGTGGCATGGTTGCTCCAAACGGGACATGCCACCAGCAACAACTGTGGCAACTAAAGTAAGCGTCTATCGGTATCAACGTATTCTCATCTCATTGTCAAGCGTCGCTTCGTTGCTGGTTGTCTCGTCTTTTCACCTACCTTTACAATACTCTACTCTAATCCCCCTTCCGCCCTTTACAATAAGGTTGATCGTTGGACTCGACTCGACTAACTCGACTAAAAAGGAAGGAGCGACCATGAGGACGAACGCACACCGCCAGAACTCAACCTACCGGTAGCTACGTGTGCCTGTAGCTATCGTTGAACTGCAACCGCAATCGCCCACACAGTGCAAGAATTGTGAATACTGATATGATACGGTAGATGGACGGGCAGTCCAAAGTTCATACCTACGTACTGTACAACAAAGGCAAGCTCGTCCCTCTGAAAAAAAGACGTCTGGGTCAAAGCTCACTCCCGCATTCAATCTCAGTTGCCAAACAGCCAGCGCTGCTGCTATCCACGGCCGTGGGCTGGCTGGGTTTGGCCGCATCGGGATCTCCCGGGCCCTGACCAGGAAGGTGAATGGAAGTCTTGAAGGAGGTTGCCGCAATGGCCAAAAGCGCAGTCAACCATGTTGGAATGGGGAATGCAATTTCCAGGTTCATACGGTACTTAGAAGCCAATGAAAAAATCTTTTGGAATGGTGAAAAAGTCTCACAAAAAGCGCTGGGTTGGTGGTACCGGTGAAGCGAAGCTACAAGCACATCCACGTCTTGGCAATACCAAATTGCGAGCCTCAATTGTCCCGAATCGAACAATCTTCATGGCGTTGCTTGGTTCGACATCAACAACTGAACAAGGAGCTCACAAATCACACAAGTAGAAAAGTAAAAGAAAGAAAACAAACAAAAACGAAAACAATATTGAATACGAAACGCAGCCTTGATTACGACAGACACGCACATACATGAAACTCTTCGTCAGCGTCAGCATCTTCAGCCTTGCGGCATGGGTGTGTACCGCCAGCCACCAAGTGCATCCAGGTGTTCACGAGGCCCACTTACGGGGGGGAAGTGTCGACGAAGCGCAGGTGAGTGCAGTGAACTGGCAATGATCAATCCATCCACCTCGAGTCGAGACGC